CAGGACCATATATATATATATACATTATACGTGTACTGATATGTGTATGAGCATGTCTATACGTACATGCGCATGTATTACCCAAACATATGCAGCGATGATGGTCAGAGCCATGAAAACATGGGCCTTCCTTGACATCTAGGTCAGATCAGCTGACGCTGAGTAGTGATGGTGCTAGAGGGCACCACAAGGTACTCCCGGACTTCTCCTGTGGGGGGCTGCTCAGTGTCTGATGTTGACAGCCTTTGCAGGTTGGTGGCCAATACCATGAAGATCGGATGAAGGAGCTGCAGAAAGTGAAGCACGTTCCGAGCCCATTATTGGAACTGTCAACAGTTCTCACACCTTGTTCGCCATCATTTGCCGAGGCTTTGATAGATATGGCCCATCGCGCAGACACAGACAGATCAGTTCCAGCAGGAAAGGACATGGAATTCTACATGTCCACGGTCCCTTGGATTTACAGGTCTGAGTTTGCCAGTACGTTTTTGGCCCGTTGCTCTTGCATTTTGAGCCCATTGACCCAGGTTGTGGAGATGATCAATACCACCATGCGCTCATCGATCGATGAGCAGTTCGAAGCTGACAAGGCAAGAGACAGCTGAAAGGATGGCACGGCAATAGATTGGGCCCAAAACGTCACAAGCATGTGTGAGGCTGTCTTGGAAGTCAACTTGAAGCAGTTCGACACATGTCTGTCGACTTTGTCGTCAGGTTCTGCTGCATTTGTCAACAGCATTGCTGAGAGTTTCTTCATCTGAGTACTGGGACTGGGAGGCCTTGCATGGCCAAATGCGGTTGGGCCCCAATGATGTGACACTTGCTGTTGGTCTTGCAGTGGCTGTTGCTTTTACCTTGCCCACCTTGCACTTGCCAAGATCCTGGTTGGTGGCAGCTACGCTAGCCAAGCCTACAGTGACTCGCCGAGACTTCGAGATTCCTTGATGTTGCAATGGGCAGTGGTTGTCCACACTAGGTGGCCTTGACATCGATAAGAAGGCCCACAACGACTGCCGACAGACGCAGGCAGGCAGTCCCAACAGCTGAAACAGGTACACATTTGCGGTATGATTGACATGACCAAGCTACATACAGCCGATGCGACCTCAAAGCTTGGGTACAAGGTGCTAGGTCAGAAGGTATGTCCAGGCGTAGTACTGCTTTACGCATATTTCATCGTGGCTGCTTGTTCTGTTGATACATGGTGGTTCGTAGTGACCCCTGCAGAACGACAAGAAGTTACTTTACGACACCTGCATTGATGATGAAAGGATGAGGTTTGGCCCCTAGCTCCGTGTTTCATTGGTTCATAAGCTGTTGTCCGGAGTGTTTGTCCAGAAAGCTTGTGTCCCACAAGGTGGGAGGCTGTCAAAGCCGCCTGTGAAGATAACTTCACCAAGTTCTACAACACGGTGCCAACAGCTCAGCCAGTCTGTCCTTTAAGCTCATGTGATGATGTATGTGACCCGTTATAGAGCTTTTCCATCCCAATGTGTGCGCCATAACACAGTAGTTTTCATTGTCTTCCCATCATTCCCTATATAAACCTATATCATCCCCCATGTATTGTAGTTTCCATTTCATTTTGCATTTGATTATCCATTAGAGTTCTCAAGCCCTAAATGCCTAACAATCTAAGCCTTATTGAGGGACTTTATCCCTTGTAACCCCACGCGGCCTCCTTTGGTCACTGTGAAAGGTCTTCGAAGTCCACAGGGGCCTGGTCTGGGCCTCAAAAGTCGCTTCAAGGAGGGAAGCTATAACATGGAAATTACTTTGGGATCATTATAGGGTTACTGACAGGGGATATGTCGGGAGTTTATATAGGCATAGGTGGAAAAGAAAATGGAAGCTACCATATCGTAATGGGGATTATATTGGGATCATGTAGCTACGCTCTGAAGGCAAAAGCAGTGTGATACTCAGCTGGACATTTTTGCCAATTCAGCCGCAGACTCAGTGAGTGCATGCGCGGACTAATTATAGGGCATCCCGACAAAGTTCACACTTTCTGCCAGGCGCCCGATGCTGACCCTTCGGGCTTAGTTGACCTTGGTGACGTGGCTAGGGTCCCTGCAACCAAGCAGCTATCACTAGAAAGTGGTGCAAATGGTGAAGGGGAGAGGGCATGCATGCTGCCGGGTTTTCAGGACACCGAAGGCTACTTGCTTGTTCTGGCCTGAGCCATGACTTGTGTCGAAGAAAGCGGAGGAATTTCAAGCTATTCCATCACAGCTGGCGTTGCTGCAATAGTGGTCTCGTTTCAAGTGCAGAGAGACTTCCTGTTCGCAAGGCCCAGTTCAACTTCTGGGACAAGAAGCTTGAGGCCTACCTCACAGCTGAGGTGGGCACCATTTGTCACTTGTCTTCTTTTCGGCAGCTTTACTACCTGTGAGATTTGTCACCAAGCTTCATCAGGATCTTTGCAAAAAGGCCACGGCAAAGGCTAAGGCAGCTGCCACAACGTTTCGGTGCCTCCCTGTTACTCGCTTGTCGCCAGGCAGAGACGGCCGACTGCAGCTCAAAGCTAGAGGCCGTTTTGAAGTCGTGCTTCCTATGTATCCGCCGGGGCTACACAGCATGAAGGACTTCTTCAATATCTCCAAACAGTGTGATGCACTGCAGGAGTTTCATTTGGGCGGGTTCCCATGCTTCTCCTCGCAAGCTTGTACAGCCAGCTAAGCAGACTTTGCGCAATCCACATTTGTGACATTTTGTTCATTGCTGTTGTGGGCTGCCATCACCGTGCAGTTGTCTTGGACTTTCTTGTGAGGACAGCATGGACGGCTTGGCCTGTCTGCACCCCACAGAGCGTCAAGCCACTATCAGAATCAAGCGGGCTTGTTCAGCAAGGTCAGCAAGCCCTAGCCAGACATACAAAGTGCTCCGACTATGACGCGTGCCTCTGACATGCGCTTTCTTTTTGCACACGCGTGACATCTGGCCTTGATGATTGACAAAACGCCCGCCGATGCCAGTTGTGTTGACTGCCAGGTGCTTTGCTGCCGCCGAGTCGTCCTGGACATGGCTCCTGTGTGATGAAAGCAGAGCACGCGTGTCGTGCCTCCAAAGTCCCTGATGCGGCTGCTCACCTGAAGGACAACCGTCAAAAAGACCATGTGTGGCAGCACTGCCAAAGAAGGGGTCGCTTCCTTAGAAGTTGCTCGATGCCTTAAAGGCTTTCTTTCAAGATGTGTGACGCCTTAGCATCCGAGGGATTGATGGGGTTGAAATGTTGAGGTTCTGCAAGAGGAAATGATCGTGATCCAGCAGTGCCTTGGTTACCAGCCTTTCAGCCTCAAGAGTTCTGTTCATACAGCTGGAAACCATGCCCGCATGCCACCATTAGTGGTTTCCAGGATCGAGTGCATCCTCCATGCGGTGACGAAGCCTAAAAGTAAGGAGGAGGTTGCAAAGCGGCCTTCCTAGTGGTCTTGTGCAGTTAGGGCATTGCTCAGAGTGGAAGCCATGCTTGGTGCCAAGGTGTCTCAACGATCCTCCGAAGCGCTCGCGGACTCAGTTCTACTCCTTGCTTTCTCTGCGATGGCTTCGTGTGACGACGCCCAGGCAGCACTGCGCTGCTTTTTTCGCAGTGCAACGAGGTGCTCCGTCTTTGCTCCCTGCTGCCCTTACGCTCTTTCGCTTGTTTTTGTTGGCCCATGTTTGAGCAGGTCATGCCTGCCAAGAATGACATCCAAAACTGCGGAAATCACTTGAAGCCAGTAGACGATGCAGACATGCCTGGTACCAAACCCTACGCCTGGGTCCTGTTGTCTAAGCCGACCCTCATAAAGGGCCTTGTGCGGGGAAACGTCTCAGGTGGAGAAGTACTACACCGGTCCTGAGTCCAACCCAACCGGCTATCCGCTGCCGGCTGTGAGCGAATATGAGGATTCAAACCATGCCCCTCCAGTGGATGTGAAGGCAAGGTGGGAAACAACAGTAAAGCGTGAAGCCTGGGAGCGTGCCCGAGTGTGCTGGAGCCTTTGAAGAGGAATGTGTGGCGACCTGCTGTACAAAGCCACCAGCTTGACTCTCAGAGTCGTAGCCATGCCCTGAACAGAACCCCGCCCGTCTGGACCTTCACTTCTCACCCAGGCGGCGGCCAACAACGCCCGGGGTCTGGACAAGCGCCCTCAGGTCCGGACATGTCCGGACGATGTTATGCACTTGTTGATATTGCGAAATTCCGATGGCTGAGGACTGCGGCTCCTGTGGCGGTTTGCCGTGCAAGTACTGTGACTCAGAGGCTTGAGCTCCACATCTTGTGTGCTGTGGAGCATATGAAGCATTGATGCGCTCACTTGGACAGGGTTGCTGTTCAACCCAAGTGGATGGCGGACAGTGCAAGAAGAAGAATCCATATGCAGCTGTCACATGCAAGGCAGGGATGCTCCATTGTTGAGGAGGGTAGTTGACTGTGCATGCTGTGCCTGCTCTTCTCCAGGATGAGCGCCAGGCCTGGCCTTTTGGGTGATCCGTACAACAGTAACAGTTTCAATCGAAGCTGGGGTGAGCTATTTGTCTTAGTGCTGACTTCAGGATGCCAGCGAAGCTAATGCCACCAATGTCACCATGCAGGCACGCTGGTGCTACATCCATGGTTCCTCTGAAGCCAAGTCAGGGGATTGACCCTCAACTGGGCAGGTTCGCGTGGCAGCCATCGAAGCCGCGCTTATGGCCAAGCAGAGAGGCGAGATCGTGCGTGACCAGGCTGTTGCTGCAGGAAGGGCAGCGGCGCAGATGGCACGGGCTCTGGGTATGAAGGTGGAGGAGCAGGCCGCCTTTGCTGCTGCAGAGGCTGCCCTTGTGGCCACTAAGGCTGCGCAGACTCCTCAGCAGCAGATGGAGGCTGCAGCAAATGCTGCCTATGCGGCCGTGGAGGAAGCCGCCAGCAGCTTCTTTGGGGCCACGGCTGATGCCGAAGACAGCGGGCACAGCAAGGCCACAGCAAAGATGGCAGAGGAGGCAGCTCTCACCGCGGCGGTGAAGTCGGCCCTGGCAGCTGGCATGAGCAAGACTGAGGCCGAGGCTGCATCCGCTGAGGCCGTGACCCAGGACGCCGGCAACTATGCTGCCTCGAAGGCAGCTGCAGCTGCCCGTGCAGCCAAGAAGCCTGTGAAGGTACAGGTCCAGGTTGCTGTGGATGCTGCGGTGAAGGCCACAGCTACCACCGAGGGCAGCGTGGAGGAGCAGGCGGTCTCGGCTGGCCTGGCGGCTTCTGACGCCTCGCGTGCTGCAGGCCAATCCGTGCGTGATGAGGCCTTGTGGGCCGCAAGGCATACAGTGGAACTCGGGAAGGGCAAGGGGCTGAACGAGCCAAAGGCCCTTGCCCTTGTCAGGCACGTGATCATCAAGGTTGCGAAGGCACATGGCATGTCCGATGATCAAGCTGCAGCCATGGCAGATATGGCCATTGACCAAGTCGCAGAGAAGATTTGTATCAGCCCAAAGTTTGAAGGGTACACTGTAACCGAAGAACTGCTGAACCAGACGGCCTTCAGTGTCCAGGTCGAGTGTGCGCCTGGTTTCTACGGGACTCCAAAGGCCAAGGTTTGCGGCATCTCTGGTGCTCCATATGAGCTCCTTGGCTGCTTCCCCATCGTTTGCTCAACACCTTCCAGCATGGATGGATATCAGGTGACGGAGCTTTCTCGGGCCATTTACCAGTGGAACGTGTCCGCGGCCTGCGATGACTACTTTGCAGGCACTCCAAAAGTTACCCCGTGCTCGGTGCACAACACACCCTATGGCTTAACTGGGTGTGTCGAGAAGCATTGTGCCACATCACAAAAGATCAAGGGTCATGGCTACGATGTGACAGAGATCTCTACCAGTATGCGCAATTTCGAGATCAACGTCAAGTGCCATGCGTCCTTCAAGGGCGATCCGACTGCACATGTGTGCAAGAAGATGAACGAGCCTTATGATCTTCACGGTTGCACCCATCGTGAGTACTGCGTCCGCCCAGCTGCGTCGAAGCTAGTCGGGTACGATATCAAAGAAATTGATCTTGAGATCCCAGGGTTTGTCGTGAAAGCAAGCTGCTCCAAGAACTATGTCGGAGAAGCGCTGGTGGAGGAGTGCGATGATGATGATGGAGAGTATGTTCTATCTGGATGCGAGCCCATGACGTGCGCATCTCAGATGGCATCCCCACCGGAAGGCTACAAGATCACCTCTGAGAACCTAGAAGTACCTGACTTCGACATTCATGTAGAGTGTGCTGCCGGCTACATGGGGTCTCCAATTGTCACACCATGTGACACCCAAAGTGGTTCCTACAGCATTTCTGGATGTGAGCCGAAGAAGTGTGTGGCGCCACAGGGCAAGGAAGCCTACAGCATCGTCAAGGAGAATTCGTTGGAGATGCCCCACTTGGACGTGATCGTGGAGTGCGCTGACAAGTACATGGGGACAGCTTCTGCAGCAGCTTGTTCTGACCACCTCACTGAGTACGGTCTCTCTGGTTGTTCTCCTCAGACTTGCCTGGAGCCGATCGATGCGGTGGGTCCTTGCCTAAGTTCCACTTCCTTCACTGACTTGAGCTCGTGGCTGCATGCAGAGAGTGTCACAGATCAAGATCTCATGTGCTGAGGCTATGTCACCCAGGTTGACTCCCTTGAACGCCCGAACTTCGCGGTGACTGCAAAGTGTGCCCGGCTTTTTGAGGGCACTCCTGAGGTTACTGCATGCAAGCAGAACGACCGAGTCTTTAACCTGTCGGGGTGCAAACCTTCTGTTTGTGCTACTCCAACCGAGTTTCGGGGCTATGCCATTACAAGCGAGAAGTCTCTTGAGATGCGCAGCTTCAACGTCGAGGTTAATTGCGCTGTGAACTACACAGGAACGCCAAGCGTAACAGAGTGTTCCAAAGCTGATGAGGTGTATACTCTGCACGGCTGCTTCGAGCAAGTTTGTACGAAGCCTCGGAAGGGTGCAACTGAGGGCTATGTGATCACTGAGACATCTCTTGAGCGACCCAGTTTCGAAGTCTCAGCCGCATGTGCTGTGGATTACATGGGCACGCCAAGTGTCTCCGTATGTGGTGGCCATGACCTGCCTTTCTTGGTGTCGGGATGCAAACCTCAGACCTGCACGGAGCCAACAGATGCTGAAAAGGAGGGCTACGCAATCACTGCTTCCTCCTTGGAAAGGCCCCACTTCAGTGTAGAAATCGACTGTGCCCCAGGTTACACTGGAAAGCCAACTGTCACACGCTGTAATGCGCATGGGAAGCCCTACACTTTTGGTGGCTGCCATGAGATCGAATGCAGCACTGCGCAGACCTCCAAGGGCTTCTCCATCGTCCACGAGGCTTCTCGCAAACTCACAAGCTGGAACGTCAGTGCCAAGTGTGCTGCGGGATGGTATGGAGAGGTTGTTGTGGAGCCCTGCTCTGAGCACAGGAAGCCCTTCTCGCTCTCAGGCTGTGCCCCCATGGTTTGCAATTCTCTGAAGGACTCCCCTCCAGATGGATATGTGGTGACTGCCGAGAATTCTCTGACAGTTCACAGCTTCGGCGTCAAAGGTACCTGTGCCCCTGGTTATCATGGAACAGTGCAGGCGACCCCCTGCTCTTCCCATGCGACAGCCTACACCCTCACCGGATGCCACCCCATCGTGTGTGCCTCCATGAACCTGGCCCCACCCACTGGCTACACCATCAAGGCCGAAACCTCTCTGGAGCAATTGAGTTTTGGGGTCAAGGCCGAGTGTGCAGATGGATATTATGGCACAGCAGTGCCCAAAGCATGCAAGGGCGAGGGTCAGCCCTACACCCTGGAAGGCTGCAGTGTGAAGGTCTGCAAGTCCCGCACCGGAAACGTGCCCCGAGACATCGTTCTTGAGAAGGAAGGCTCTTTGGAGGTGCCCAGCTTCACCGTCCAGGCACACTGCCATCCTGGATACATGAACGAGTCCACAGTTCCCAAGGGCAAGATCAGCGTGCGCCCTTGCACCAAACATGGCGAGCCTTACAAGCTGGAAGGCTGTGAGAACGAGGTGTGCGAGTCCATGAGCAAGACCCCTCCAACAGGCTACAAGGTCTTTGCTGAGGAGTCACTGCATATTACTACCTTCGAGGTAGACATTGGCTGTGATGAAGGCTACACGGGTACTCCCAAAGCTGCTGTATGCAAAAACCACGCAATGGAATACAGCTTCTCCGGCTGCCGAAAGGTCATGTGCACCTCCCCGAAGCTGCCAATTGGCCACCGAGTTGTTGAAAACACAAAGACACAGCTGGGCTTCTCCGTGGACGCCTCTTGCAAGGATAAGTACATGGGCACGCCCAAGACCATGTCCTGCGAAAAAGATGGAGAGCCATATTCTGTGAGTGGTTGTGAGCCAGAAGTCTGCAACCCGCCTAAGAGCTCCGTGGGTTACACAGTTGTGGAGGGTGACCTGGAGCGACCCAGTTTCCAGGTGACAGCAACCTGCGCCGCTGGCTTCTATGGCACTCCAGTTGTGACCCCATGCATGACGCACCATGAAAGCTACAAACTCTCGGGCTGCAACCCAGAGCTCTGCGTTGCACCGAAGGTTTCGGATGTGGTTGCCTACAAGATCAAGGAAGTCAACCTTGAAGTGCCAACCTTCAATGTCACGGCCGAGTGCACGGATGATGCCCTTGGCAAGGCTAGCATCCACGTGTGCTCGACGCGGTACACTGCTTATTCTGCGACAGGCTGTTCCATTCCTTTCTGCAAACAGCCGCCAGCTGCGGAGCTAGTGGGCTACACCATCAAAGAGACTTCGCTCAAGATGCTGAAGCTGGATGTGAACGTGTCCTGTGCAGAGAACTACACAGGTGTGCCCAAGGTAACGACCTGCCAAGGAGATGGCACAACCTACTCAGTGGAGGGCTGTGAGCCTTTCACGTGTAGGTCTGCTTCGCGAAGCAGCGATGATGGATTGGTTGTGTTTGAGAAGTCTCTGCAGAAGCTGGACTTCGAAATTCACGCAGAATGCACAGAGGGATTTTCAGGGGCACCTGTCATTGAGATGTGCAAGGTTCACAACACCTCCTACACCATCTCTGGCTGCACCAAGCAACGCTGTGCTTCTCCTGTTGGTGACGATGTTGCCGGTTGCTTGCCTGCATTTAGCTGCATTTGGCCCGCATCGCCAAGTGAAGTAAGTAATACCAGGTCTGCAATCTGAATGCTGTAGGGCGTAAGCTGGCATGACTGCTGGCAAGACTCTCGCTGAGGCTACATCTTGACGGAAAACGACATTCATCGCCCTCCAAACATGTTCAGCGTCACGGCGGAGTGTGCTGCGGGCTACTACGGAACACCCAAAGTCACCGTCTGCAAGGGCCAGGACATGCCGTATTCAGTTGAGGCGGGGCCACTGCGTACAAGGAAGGAAGTACAGAAGACATGAATGCATGACTGTCGTATAGCACAAATAATTCAACAACGCCTTCATTTCAATGTCCTGAAATGCGGGGGGCTGGTCCTGTAAGGTCCCGTTCCAGCACGTTGTTTTTTTGTTCTTGGCAGGGATGCAAGCCGGTGGTCTGCAAGTCGCCCCAGAGCGTCAGCAGCAAAGGCTACGCAGTGTCTCCTGGCCAGCAGACTGCGGACTGCGTGAAGGTAAGCATGATGTTCTGTTCTTTGGCCTTGCTCAGGTTCGAGACCTCCAAGGAGCTTCCAGACTGGAATGTCAAGGCCGAGTGCATAGACGAGTACAAGGGCACTCCCAAGGTCACGCCCTGCAAGTCCAACGGTGAGGTCTACGAACTGTCGGGCAGCTGGGCCCGAAGTCCCGAAACTTTTGTTTGTTTGTTTGTTTTGCCCCTGCCAAGCTCGCCGGCCCCGCCCTTGCCGCCCCGGCCCCCCCCCCCCCTGGGCGGCTCGAAAGGTTGCGAACCCGAGAAGTGCAAGCAGCCCACGGACGAAGACCTTGTGGCGTATGACCTGATTGTTAAAGACCTGCAGCGGCCCTTCTTCGACGTGGTGCCCCGTTGCATGTACCGCACGAAGCCAGGGGGCAAGGAGCTCTTTGGGAAGGTCACCGAGTGCTCCTCAGACCAGGAGCCCTTCAAGGTAGAGGGCTGCTACCTGACATGCAATTCCACATCAGTGGGTGTGGCGCAAGGCTACGAGGTGTGGCTTGGAAGCATGCAGAAGAGGGTGTTTGGGCCAGCGCTTGCTTGCCCCAATCTTGCGCCATTTTGTCTTTCCTTGCCAGCCTGTTGGCTGCACCCGCCGTCTACCTGAGGCACGAGAAAAATCTTTTGATGCCAAAGTGTCTTGGCGGGCATTCAATCACAGTTGTAGGGTTAGTTGCTACGCAGCGTTAGTATTCAGACAAAAGACCTGCAAAGGTTCGACGTGGATGTCAGCTGCGCCCCCAACTTCATCGGCGACCCCACGCCCACTGTCACAGCCTGCGACAAGCCACTGACACCTTATACGGTGTCTGGGTGCAGGCCCATGAAGTGCACGTCACCTACCGCAGAGGCCAAGAAGGATTACGTTATCAACGAGACATCCCTGGAGAAGCCTTCCTTTGCAGTGTCTGCAACGTGCCTGAAGGGTGGCATGGCTGGGGAGGCTGTGCCCTGCATCTTTGACGGGGAGCCCTACACCCTGAAGGGCTGTGACGAGGCTTCGTGTGAGTCCCCGCGGCGCACAGAGGAGACTGGCTACTCCGTGTCTCTTAGTTGCCATCAGATTGCCATGAGTGTTAGAATCCGTTTTGCGTTTCAGTTGGGGGTTTTTGAGGTTCGAGGACGACAGGCACTTCCGATCCTTCAAGGTGTCTGCCAGCTGCGCCACCGGCTATCTCGGCAAGGCCGAGGTCCACCGCTGCCAGCAGGCTGGCGAGCCTTTTACCTTGTCGGGCTGCGAGCCGAAGACCTGCACGAAGCCGGTTGGGGACGAGATCTCGGATTACGAAATCACCCCGCATTCCGTGGAGATGCCAACCTTCAACGTTGGTGTCAGGCATTGCGTCCTTTACGCCCTTTGTTCTCTTGTCTTAGGACTTATGACTGCATGTGTTTTGTGTGTTGCTTTTTCGATGAATTTGGCAGGTGCAAGTACGGGGGAAACGCCACCGTGAGCGTTTGCAAAGAGCACGCCCAACCCTACAGCGTGTCGGGTTGCCTGCCGCCGGTCTGCAAGGCACCTCGGGGTGAAGAGGGCTACGTCGTGTGCCTTGGTTGCAGAAAATTTGAAAGCCGGTTGGGTTCGCCAGAGCTTCACCCATCTTCGCATGTCTAAGGGTGGAGAAGAACAAGCTCATGAGAGACTTTGAAGTGACGGTGAGATGTGCTCGGGGATACGGTGGAAAGGCTGTGGCCACCGAGTGCTTGGAGCATGACCAGCCCTACAGCCTGTCAGGTTGCACAGCCATGGAGTGCACTACCCCAGATGACATGGTCAACTATGAGGTCACCGAGCACTCATTGGACATGCCCAGCTTCAGCGTCACCGCCCGGTGTGCTGATTCAGGTGCTACAGCAAAGTCTATTCCATGCCAGAGGAATGGTTGGCCCTATCGCTTGTACGGATGCCCACAGCACTGCACGAGCCCCAATATTACCGCCGAGTACAAAGTGCACCTTGGTAGCTGAGAACACTTGAGAATTAGGGTCAAAAAAAGGGCTCGGCTTGTTTACATGAATCGCAGCCCAGGAGGGAGTACAACTTGAAAGTCTCCACATTCGATGTGAAGGTTGGTTGTTCCTTCGGCTACATGGGCCAGCCTGTTGCCCAGCAGTGCCCTCTGGCCGGCCAGCCCTACTCTGTGTCAGGCTGCGTGCCTGAGAAGTGTGCCATGCCCAAGGAGGAAGTCAGCCACCGATACGAGATTACAGTGCACTCTCTGGAACGACACAACTTCGACGTGCAGGTTCAGTGCAAGGGTCAAAGGTCCAGCCCTCCAAAGGCAATCAACTGTGCTGGAGATGGCCAGCCATTTCTGCTGGAGGGTTGCCGCGCGCTGCAGTGCAGGTCTCCGCGAAGAGGCATGAGCGATGGCTACGTTGTGCTGCTCGGACCCTTTCAGCTTGTGAAGACGGCATGTAAATGACAGTCATTGCAGGAACTGATTTTGCATGCATTTGCATCAACTTGTAAGTGGACATGTTTCATGGAGTTCAGCTCACTTTGGAAGCCTTGAGGTACGAGGGGTCCTTGTACTCCAACACGTTCAACGTCAAGGCTTCGTGTGCCGCGGGTTACAGTGGTCATGCCAAGGTGGAGATGTGCACGGCCGGGGGAGGGCCCTACAGCTTGTCTGGCTGCAAGCCCAAGAAATGCAGCAGGCTCTCTCTGACTAACGAGCACATTCAGTATGAGATCACGGAGCAATCTCTTGAGCTTCCCAGCTTTAGTGTGGGCGTCAGCTGCAAGGGCAAACAGATTTCCCCTCCACGGGCTGTTCCCTGCAAAGATGATGACGAGCCTTACAGCTTGGAGGGCTGCAAACCGCTGGAGTGCTTGTCTCCACGGGCCGGCAAGGAGGATGGCTACGTTGTGCAAATTGATGGAAGATGGGAAGGTATTTTCTTGTCTTGTCTTGTGTGTTTGTGATCCTAGAACCAGACACTGTTCCTACCCAACATTATCTGGTTTCTTTGAATGGTCTGCTTTGAGGTATGAGGGATCCAGGCATACCAACACCTTCGATGTGACGGCAAAATGTGCTGTTGGCTACAAAGGCCATGCGAAGGTGACGATGTGCGAACATCCGGAGACCCCATACGTCCTTTCTGGATGTGAGCCCATGAAGTGTGTGGCACCGCGGGAAGTCGAGATGACGTCTTACGATCTCACCATGCATTCTCTGGAGCTGCCGAGCTTCAGCGTCTCTGCACGATGCAAAACCAGAACCAAGCGCGGCATGACGCCCAAGGCTATCCCATGCAAGGAGGATGGTGATGAATTCATTCTTGAGGGATGTGTGCCTGGTGAATGTGCTTCTCCTAGCAACGCCGCGAAGGGAGGCTATGTCGTGTAACTTGGTCGCAGCATCTCGCATCTTGTGGTCGCGGTCAGCCCTAGCATCTTTGACGTATCTTCCCTGGGCCCTGGTGTTGGCATGTGCGATCCGACTAAGGTATGAAGCTCAGATGATCGTGAATTCGTTCAATGTGAGCGCTTCCTGCGCCAGTGGATACAAGGGTCAAGCCTCTGTGGCGGTTTGCAAGGATGTGGATGAACCCTACTCCCTGGGGGGCTGCGAGCCAATCAAGTGCACAAAGCCGCATGTCAATGACACGGAGGGCTACGAGGTTACGGAATTCTCCCTGGAGAAGCCGAGCTTCAGCGTTACCGTGAAATGCACAAGCGGTATTGGCCATGGAAAAGCCAAAGAGTGTGAAAAAGATGGCGAGCCTTACACACTCGAAGGCTGCTTCATCGGTGAGTGTACATCTCCGAAGACGCAGCTGGAGCAAGGATATGTGGTGTGCCTCGCCTTCATGGGTGCTGGCTCCGGTTCTTAGTCTACGCATCCGCGGGTTCAGTTGTTTGTATCTGTCCGCTGTCTCTCGGTTTCTTTGGCTCTGTGCAGTGCTCAGGCGGCTGTCCACACATCCTCGCTGAAACTTGTTACTTCTTTCTATCTCTCGGAATGTAACTATCACACTCATCCTCCTCTCCATTCCTCCGTCTCACGTGCTGGAGGCTTCTGTGATCACTTGGAATCTTCGATGTTCTCCTTGCAATGTGAACAGTGGTGCTGGGCACAGGCTAGGCTAGGATAAGGTCAGCCAGGACTGGGATGTTGAGAATTCATGCATGTCCGGATCTGTGTACGTTCAGGTATGAGAATTCCAAGCTGAGACACAAGTTCGATGTGACGGCTCAATGTGCCAAAGGCTACAAGGGGACTGCGGTGGTCACGGAGTGCTCCAAAGCCGATGAGCCTTACACAATGAGTGGATGCCAGCCTGAGGCCTGCGTTGAACCTAGCGTGCTGGACAAGGCCAACTACGAGTACACGATTTTGTCCCTGGAGCGGCCCAGCTTTAGCGTGACAGCCAGGTGCAAGCACGGCTTTCGCAATGCTTCCACGATTGAATGCACAGACGATGGCGAACCCTTCAAGCTTGAGGGCTGTAAGGATGCCTGCTCTTCTCCCAAGGGGGGAGCACAGGACGGGTACACCGTGTGCCCTGGCTAAACCTGCGGACTCAGCTTCAATGCATACTGTCAGATACGGCGCTGCCAAACCTTCAAAATTCATTCACTAGCCGTTTAGCTAAGGGTCGAAAAGAAGCTGGTGATGGACGAGTTCGAGGTAGATGCCATGTGCTTCAGTGATTACGATGGCACTGCAAAAGTCAAGAAGTGCCCATCAGCCAACCAGCCCTACGTCCTTAGCGGCTGCACGCCCAAGAAATGCGTGCTTCCCAGCGACGAAGACCGAGCCGCCTACCAGCTTACCATCTACTCCACCGAGGCACCTTCCTTCAGTGTCACGGCCAAGTGTAAGAACGGCGTGGGTACAGGCAAGGCCACGAAATGCTACGAAGATGGGAAGCCATTTACCTTGGAGGGTTGCCCGGCGCTGTGCACGTCTCCAAAGAAAACGGCAGAGGAGGGCTACGTTGTGTTTCTGGGCTCAAAGTTAGATGCCATATGGTGGAATTTCAATTTCTTGCGATACCGTGCGCTTCCCTTCCAGGGCGTACACAGCGCGAACATGCAACCATGATTTGCGATGTAGTTTTGACAGAGTCCAGAGCCCAAAACATTTTCTGTACTGTCATTCCACCTCCCGAAATGGATGCAAATCAAATTTCTAGATGTGAGTTTGCAGAGACGGGATGTTGTAGGGATTGTACTCAGGATTGAGACGGACCTCCACATGAAGACATTCGACGTCGGTGCACTCTGTGCTGATGGCTACAAGGGCAATGCCACTGTGACCAAATGTGCAACGGTGAATCAGCCTTACAGCATCTCCGGCTGCCAGCCACAGAAGTGTGTCGAGCCGACTGCGGCTGAGAAGGCCAATTACAATATCGTCACCTACTCGCTTGAACGGCCCTCGTTCAGTGTCACGGCGACGTGCAAGAGCGGGTCAGGCACTGGCAAGGCTGTACCATGCAGCGGTGACAACCAGCCTTACAAACTGGAGGGTTGCTCCATTACAGGCCAGGCAGACTAGTGGGAGCTCAGTGAGCAGAAGTGAAGCCGGGCATTGACCACTGCGTTGCCCCATGTTGCCCCTGACAGGTTAGGTCGCTGAATGCGAGTCAGCTGGTTGAGGAGGAGCCAAATGCCTGGTAGCTGTTTGTCTCACATCCTTTTATGTGCGCTACTTGAACAGTTGTGTGTGAATGTTACCTTCGCTGTCTGCGTTTCTGCTTGCTTTCCAGTCCAGGAGGTGTGTGTATGCATGGTCGCACATGCCATTCGTCGTGCATTTGCTAGATTGCTTTCATCTCTTGCAGCTGCGGTGGTTCCGCAACTGCATAGCATAAGTACTGGCATCTGGCAAGGACAATTGGATTGGCATGGAGCTCATGTGAACGGCCCATGTCTGTGTCTTGTAGACATTTCAGATAATGAAACTTTGTACGCAGAAACTGCGATGACAAAACAAAGCAAAGCCACCCTCAGTGGCTGGCAACGCGTGCTCTTTGCATTGCCAGGCTGTGCTGTGTTACCTGCCGCCGGCCCCGAGACTCAACGTACTACAGCATGTTGGACATCCACGGACAACTTCTGTTGATGGCAGCTTGCATGGGGCTTGCAAACAGGTTTGCACTCCGTACATGTACGATAACCGTAGCGAAGCAAAACAGGTCTGCTGGGTATTGATTCTGTAAGCCACCGCCATGGCATTTGCGGAGCTTGACAGCAAGGGGCAGAATGAAGCTCTTTGTGGCGTTTGCAGGGCCCGAAGAGGAGGTGCACAATCTGCGAGGGCTTTGCGAAAAAGGCAGGTCCATGTTCTCAGAGCAAAAAGCAGGTCCGCTTTGTGGTTCTCGTGGATGCGGCCAGCACTGTTGCGCCAGCCTCTGTGCGGAAATGCTCTGCAGGTGCTTGCGTTCACCCTACAGGGCTACCTAGGCCTCCCTGCGGCAGCGCATCCAGGCAGACTTCCGGTCGGTCTTCCCCAGCAGGCAACTGTTAGCTGAGCTGCTGGCGCTTGTTTTTGCGCAGCAGTGCCAGGCTACCAGTTGTCTTCTTCCGCATGGCCAGTGCGCTGGACCCAGCTGAGCAGTCGGGTGGACGAGAGTCCGAACTTGTGCCACTCACGATGTTTGTGAGGCCGATGGCTTCTTCCTCACAGACGCCACTTGCTTGGCTGCCATCAGCTGCCTAGATATTGCAGACGAAGCCCGCTGGTTATGAGTCGCAAGGGAGCTGTCGTTGGCGAAGTGCTAACCGATGGCAGCACAGCCTGGAGCTTTTTGCCACGCATTCTGGATCCTTCAAACTCAAACACTGTTTCGTGACAGTTAGGTCACTTGCCACAGAGCAGATTCTGAGGTGGGAAGAGAATGCACTCCTGGTTCCAACTGTAGAGCTGATCTCAGATGCCACAGGTTACGGGCGCGCCGTTGCCAGACCAGCCCAGCCCAGCCCTGAAGTTCCTGTGCTGGGATTCTTGGCTCTCGAGCTATGTGCTGAGGCTTAGAAGAGGTTCGGAGTGTCTTTGCGTCCTTCCGGGCCCAGGCGGGGCCTGCACCACCCGGAGACTCCAGATTTCTTGGATTCCAGCAAAGGTTTCCTACATTGCCCGGATGGCCTGCCACGCCGCCCTCAAAGCCAGCAGCGAGGCAATGCCAGCGTGACGTAGACCTTGACTGCGACCTTTGCTGTTGCTCTCAGGCGAGTGCCGAAGCTATGTCGATCTTGCTCGTGGGGCCCTGCAGATGTCAGTGGCTGAACTTGTATTCTGCCTTCCCAAGGCCATGCTGATGCTTGGGGGTCCGCAGCTTCTGAAGGCGCTGTCAGGCGCTGTTCCAACTTTCACATCAGTGCCACTCTTCAGGTCCGCACGGATGCGCTGGACATTCTGCAGTACCAACCTCAATGGTGTACTCCGAAAAAGCACCCTCATGCCCCATAAGCCTCATGTCCTGACCAGGAAGCGCTTGCCAGCCTCGGCGCGCGTCTAAGCTCTGGCGGTTTTCATGTTCGAACTGGGGGTTCCCAAATACCATGTAGGCCTTAAAACCAACCACAAACAGAAAGCAAGGCCGTGAAGGCAGAACTGTCACACGTTCGCACTGGACGCACACCCACAGCCCTACCCAATCGATTGAACTCGAATGATTATGCATTAGTGTACAGTGGACTCATATGCTTACAGTCATAGAAGCTTTCCTCACTGTGATGGTGATAGCTTTGATGATGGTAGTGGCATTCCGTAGGCCCACAATCTTCAGCTTGCAAGTATTCTTGCCGATGTGAGATGCCAGCTCTACGGTAGCTCACACATGCTGCTGCTGCTGATCGGTTTTTGACAGTCCTTCATCTGACCCAAGCAGGAAACGAATCCAGAAGCGTCGTCACGTCTTTGAGTGACAGCAGTCAGGTGTAGCAGTATGTAGCAGAACCAGTAGCAGTAGTAGCAAGTAGCAGTAGTCCTTGCAGCTTCCAGTTGTTGTCGTCGTGATGAGATCCTGAATAACGTTGAGCCACATGATCTCCCGCTTCGTCCTCTGAAGGATGGAGCAGCCTTGCCTGCTTTTCTGGCAGCTGGCGGCCTCTTCGTGCTGCAGGGGCCCCAAAAATCGGTGTGCAGTATTCAGTCCTCACTTCAGCAGTCCCCCAAATGCCTGGAACAAAATATGACTTCTGGAACAGGCCGAAATATTGTTCCGAGGCTGTCAGAGTGACCCAGAGCTCAGATCAAAAGAAACTTGAGGGGCCACGATCGGGGGTGCCTTGGAGTTTTGGATCGACATGCGCCACAAGTGCGCCCACAACTTGAGAGTTGCTAAATAATAGATGAATATTCTGCATCTTGTCAGAGACCTCAACCAGGCCCGGCAGCTATGACTTGTCAATATTTTTTCGCTGTCGCTTTGTCGAGTGATCCTGGAAGGGAGCTTTGGCATGCCATTGCTTCATGATAGCCTTACAGCCTCATTGTAGGTCCAATGAGGCGGACGCAACCAGTTTCCTTGAATCCTGAGGCCCTAAACCCTTATTTCTCCTCCAACCTGCCTGGGCCTATATTATCGCTGAGAACAGGATAATTCGGCAGGAGCAAACACATGACTTTGTGTGCGACGAAAGCTTTTTGCCAAGAGGCTCGGCCTTCTTTCTCCGTCTACAAAGCTGGATGCGGATCCTGAGGTGAATGGCTCAACTTGCACGTTCTTTGGAAGCTGAAACAAGCGTCAGGGAATCCTTTGAGCAAGACTGATACAGTTGAGGAGTGCTCAGCTGAAACGAGCTAGGGCAGGTAAAGCATCGTCCTTGATGGGAATCTCTGGGCTTGCACAGGTTTCTGCCTATGTTTAGACTTGTACGGGGGTTGCATGAGTTTAAGCTCCAAGAATGGAAAGCTGTTTACACCCAACAGCCGCCTATGATGGATGGAGCTATGTTTTGGCGGATGAGAAATGCATCTCCTGTGAGTCTTGTAAGCACCGTTTCATCCTTCCGGCAACGAGAAAACCCCTGTCGATTTGGTTTGATTCTTAGCTTACCGGTTCCTAGTAGGGAATAATGGAATACATTCTATAGGGATTCTATAGAGATTGTCTTTCTCTATTCTTTACTAAGAAGCACGCGAAGCCGCCGCAGGCCTAGCATTCATCAGCTTTCTTCCATTGGCTAGCAATGCTTTTGGGATCATTGGATGAGTTTTCCTTTTGCCAGGGTTGGATGTAAGCCAGCCCTGCCATTGGTACTCTGGGTCCACGCGCTACGAAAGCTAGAGACAGATCCTTCGACAAACTGCCTCTCCCAGCAACTTGGCAAATCCTGCTGCTTGTGACGCACCACACCAAAGAAGCATGGCTCATGGCTCCAGGTCTTGGAGAAGGCTGCACAGCTTTTTGAGCAGCTGGTCCTGCAACATGGCTCGGGCCCTAATCCTCATCTTTGCTGGAGCTGAGCGGTGAAGTGAGAAGCCCAAAGTGCCACGCAGAGTGCTATGGCTCTGCCAAGAACTTGACCAACACCACATTGACTACTATAGGGGTTATTAAGGGGGATACTAGGAGTTTAGACTATGGTTCACATTGCTTAGGCCCCGACTCCACACCCCTGGGACAAATCACAGTATGAGAAGGCAAAGCAGGGGAGGTTTGTCGAAGATGCGAGGCCCAGCTTTGGCTCCAGTACTCGAGGCCTGGCTTGCAAGGGCAAACCCTGAGACCTGTCATCTTGGGGCGCAGCTACCCATTGGGGTTATATTGGGATAATGGAAAAGAAAATGGAAAGTACCATGGTACATAAGGGTTATATAGGGATGATGGAAAAGAAAAAGGAAGCTACTATTTGAGGTTTAGGCTATGCCCTTTTGACAGTGGAAGGACTGTCAGCCAAACATCTTGATGCAGAAGCTGGCGCCGCAGTCTTGGGCTGCTGATGCTACTGTTTTCCTAAGCTGTGTGTGCCCGAGATCCTTGGTCAGGAAGGACTCCCGATGTACCTCCAGCATGAAGCAGACTGCGCGGGCCTTGTGGCGAGAGTTTGTTCTAATGTGGGTGGTTTTTAAAATTATGGTCCCTTTTTGGAACCCTATTATGATACGGCACCTAATCTTTAGGGTACCCGAAAAGGGACCATAATTTTGACAACCACCTATGTACTCTTGCAGAGTCAGGCTCATGCAGCCCGCAAGGCCATGGAGTCAGCGGCCCGTTTGAGCTATAGCCTAAACTCCTTAAACGGGGGGTTGTATAGGGGATTATGTAGGGGAGTATTATGGGAGTTAATAAGGGGGATACTCGGAGTTTTGAATATAGCTCGTTTTGGAATGATCGTGAGTTCAGCATAAGCACACTGCGCCGAGGAAAGCTGGAATAGGGATCGCCGCTCTCAAAGAAGGCCAATAACCCACCCCCCCCCCCCTCCTCCTCCGTTTTGCCGCTTCTGATCTGCTTAGTTTGCTTTTGTCTTGTCGCATAGTTTGGGAGCAAGCTGAAGGCGGCCGCTCTGAGAACAGGGTTCCTCCTGAAAGGACCAGGCAGAGTCCAGAGTCCAGACAGAGGTACCTGAAAAGAACAAAAAGAAGAGGCTGCAGTCCGCCGGTGCTGCCGTTGCGCACGGTGGTTACTCGCCCTCAGGCGAGCGGGTGTCACTCTTATCCAGTCGAAAAGATTTCAAGGCATGGCATGGCATGGCATGACAGGCAGAAGCAGCTCCCTCTCAGACAGGCAGGAGGGACAGAAGGGGTGCAGAATAAGGCAGAAGGTCTGATGGATTGGCTAATGGTGGCAGGAGGATGCCAACACCAGTTCTACCTGGAGGAATGACGCTTCGACTGCTGCACGTGTCTCGGGCGGATGGGCACATGGGAGTTTGCTGGCATGACTTTTAGTGGCCTGCCAAGGCTTGACCAGCGGCAGCTTAGCCTGGACTCCTCCACACTGCGCCAGGCAATCTCGGAGTTCGAGGCTCTTCATCCCCTTTCCTGCAAAACGAAAGCTGCCCCCGAATAATTACTGGGTTTCCTGTGACCGTATCTATATAGGTTACATGCGTTACAGAGCATATGCAATCACAATGTTCATGTGTTGGCAGTTTTGCAGTCATTCTTCTTCGCGTAGGCTTGAGTCGTGGTCTTACTCCCAAGAAGCTGAGTTTACATTTGAACCCGTTTAATTCGACTGTATTCGCTGCAGCGTTGCTGTCACCAGGCCAAAGTGTCTCGCAGCCAGGAGGCCGACAGCTTGTTGCTCCTACCATCTAATCAATGCTTGGCCTGGTGACCCCTCATAAGAAATTGTAAATGGCATCGTACCGCTTTTATTTGATGCTTCAAGGTGTTATGCTGTTTGCAAGTGCAGCAAGCTGGTGATGTTGCTGTTGACATCGCTGCTACCACAGTATGAAAACCCTGTCAACCGCTACCAGCGTTCTTGCTGAGAATTTGGCCCAAATATCCTTGTATTCGCGACTTCTTCAAGCATTGCTTGCCTACACTAGGTGGAAAGAAAAACTCTTTTGCTGCGAGCAGCTATCTCCTTCAGCTGCGTCCATGATAGGTTGCTCTGCAAGAGCTAGCAGCAGACTCAGGCCTTGCTGAGGCGGGATTTCAGTTTGGAGTGCTGGCAGCAGGAGTCCTGAAAGAGCTGGCAGGTGCTGGTGAAGACTCTGCAGTCTAGAGGTGCAGCCATGCGTGGCGCCTGTTTGTGTGTCTTTGCGACTTCCATTCTGTCAAGATCTGTCAAGACCAAGGCAGCTGCTCCCGAGCCTGAGCCGAATTCTTGCGCGTTTCCGAGGCTTTGGGAGGGGCGAAGAATCTCAGCTGTTTATGAGAAGGCAGCCAGCCTTTGACCACATCTTCCTTCTGCTCTTTTTTTTGTTACAGGAGAGCCCCGGGCCCGTCTCGGCTTCGCGCGGCAGCTGGGCCGCTTTCTGCGGTTCTCGGAGGCACTGGAGGCTGGGAGTTTGGAGATCGGTGTGGCTGAGGAGGTTCGTTCCGATGGCTTTGCTACGGCTCTCGATGCCATGCAGGTTCTGCAGTCTTCTTGGCCACATCAACCAGAGGGCATGAGGCTGGTCGGCCTTGCGGGCAACGTAGGCTTCTGAGGCTTTCAAGGAAGCCCTGTTCTGTGCCGACAGGCCAGCAATGCTGGAGCTTGTCGAAGACCTAATGCAAAATGCAGTGGCGGCCTAGTCTGCTTGCCCGCCTGAGACAGAAAAGTTCAACTCAGCTCTTATTCGTAGAGCCTCGATATACCAAGGCAAGGTCAGCATCCCATTCGCACGAACTGCAGTCAATGCTGGTGGGGTGCTGGTCACATGGTGCAACTCCTAGAGCTGACAAAAACTCTTTCCAGTTTTCAGGCACTGCTGCAAGAGCATGTGCCTTCCGAGTTGCAGGCCGTTCCACATTTTGCATGTAGAAAGCCTGTGGGCGGTCACACCCTGCAGGCTCTGGCACTCCGCATGATGCGTAAGCTTGTGGATCCTGATGGCGTGACTTGCCGAATGTATGTGAGCTTTGGGCTTTACTGTTTGTCTACATGGCCAGAGTGGTCTCAGGTCTCTGGGGCAAGTGCTGCGGTACTTCGGATACCTCCAAAGGTGTGGCTAAGATGCACGTTTACCCAGCTGCCGTGGTTCTTGCCTGTAGTACTGTGGTGTAGAAGTCCCGTCGTTATTATCAAAATGATGGCTAAGGGTGTTTTCTGGATAATCGTGACGATGCTGATTCCTGATCAGAACGGTGCCCAGCAAGTTTGGGAACCTGGCCCTGGCAGGCCATCAACACCGGGCTGATGCAAGTGATGCCAAGGCAGCCTTTGGCCTGCCAGGAGTCCTGGAGGAGTGGTGCGGAATGATCAGAGAGCGTTCCTGCAATGGGTCTGCATCTGTGCCCTCTGTGGGTGCATTCAAGTTTGTTCAGTTCAGCTGAGGCCTGGATATTCTGGGAACCCTTGCGCTGAAGGAGGCACTGCGAGTGCATTTGGCTTGGCTCTGCAAGAGTCTCGTTGGCGGGCGCGGTCAGGACTTCCGACGTTTCTTCGCCAAGCAAGCATCGCTGCTGAAGTTCCTGGCGCACTGCTGCAGTCAGCGCTTGAACTAAGCTTTTCTTGACAAATCTTAGTTGACTCGTTTGCCCCTGTGCAGCCGAGGCCTGAAGTCTGCGCTGCTAAAGGCACAGCATCTCCCGCCACTTTTTCAGCGCTGTCAAGTGGCAGAAGCCCTGCCAGGCACCGAAGAAGGCCAAAGCCCGATGGCGCTACAAAGAGCAGCGTGCAGGCCGCCTCTCCAAGAAAGCCCTACCACTTTAAACACTCCAACCCGGAACGGACCGGGGAGCTTTGAAGAAAGCTGGGGGTGCAGGAAGGGTTTGAGGAAGCTCCATTCCACGCAGAGCAGAATTGAAGACTCAGTCCACTCCATCCTACAGATCTTTTCTTGTGTAACCTCATGGGAGCCCCCTCAAGTCCCAACGATCCCAATCTAGAATTTTGATCCGTGGCCCCGGTAGCATCCAGTGGCCACAGGTGCCTGGCCAACTTCGCCTCGGAACCCGAGGTGCGAGATTGGGCCAAGCAGTCGCCTGTGCTGCGCAGCCCCGTGGCCGAAGTTAGCTGAAGGTGGCGTCTGGGGTTAGGCTTCAAGAGGTAGGAGTTTAGAAGTTGAGGGTTTGGGTTCAGGGATTTTTCGTACGAAGCAGTGAGGTAGGCGTCACCCGTGCATGTGTGCGCGTCTTGGAAACGGGCAATTTAAGAACTTACTAGCACCTGGTGACTGTGCTGATTGCAACGATTTCCCCTTGAGCCGATTTGGTATGGTTAGAGGACCCGACCAAAACTTTGAGGGTCGAGGTGGATCTAAGAAACTGCAGGTATGCGCAATGTATTGCAAAGCCCATGGTTGCTGTGAACATTTTACATTTGCGGGGTCTTCGCCTTTATAATCTTTTATAATGGGTGGGAATGGCCTTGGGCGCTGTCGAAGTCATTCATTATGAAACGGAGTCAGGGCCTGGGAGTCAGGAAATACGAGGGCGAGAGTCGGGAAATGTGCAGGGCAGGAGTCAGGAAATGTGCGGGGCAGGATTCTGGAATCATAAAGGAGGGAGTCGGGAACCATGGAACCATGCTCTTAGTCCAGCATGCATGCAAAACAGGATGTAAATTTGCATGATTTTTCTTGCACAGAAATTACTCAAAGTGAGCTATAGTCTAAACTCTACAAAGGGGGCATTACGGGAGATACTAGAGGTTAAGACTATGGCCATACTCACACGGTGTTACGGTTTTCTCCGTTAGAACTACCAACCAGGCTTGTTGGAGGATTTTACCCCCTGGGAGTCCTAATCTCTAGACCCTAATCCGTAAACTTTTATCACTTGAGAGGACCCCCCGCCCTGCCCTGTAAAAGGGGTAAAATTCGAATATAGCAGGACCCTAATATATTCCTTATTGTCCCTTCAAATCACTGTTACTGGGTGGGGTGTCCACCTTACGAGCAGCAGTTTGAACTTCTGTAAAGCCTTAGCTGAACTTCTGTAAGGCGTTTGCTTTTGACGGTCTTCCAGAAGTTCACATTGCTGTTCCGATTCGGAAAGTAAAATCACCGATGCGGAAACTAAAATTACTGCATGAGAAGCTATCATTGCTTTGGGGGGTAGAGCTCGATGTCGGATCCTAGGTCCTCGCGACCGTGACCTTACCTTAGCTTGGGGAGTGCCCGCATATGAACAGTTTACCAACACGATCTTGGGGTAAGAAACATCATGTAAATTTACGTGACGTTTGGTTCCATATTTCCCGACTCTGGCCTCCGGTCCTTCCCGACTCCACCCCCTTTTTTCTTGACTCTAGCCTCCTTTTTCCCGACTCTGGCCTCCTTGTTTCCCGACTCTAGCCCTCCTTGTTCCCGACTCTCACCCTCCTGATTCCGACTCATGGCGAACGACTCTGCTAACACCCGAATGGCCTCAGCTGTCCTGCTTGCAAATCTACACGTTAAGGTTCAAACATTTGCAGTTCCGGGTTTTTACGGTCCAGGATTCAGGGCCATTGGGAAGCTATTACTTGGGATTGCGGATCCACGTTCGTGCTTTTACAGATCTGCAGTATCTAGGCATAAAATCTGAGAGAAATACTACCGTCCGGCGCAGGGACTAATTGTTCACAGCGTAGCACGATGTCATGGGGGAGCTTGACACCAACACGCATTGTATCTTCTGTTTTGCCTGTGGTGGATACCAGCGGAACACGGAGGTGCTATCTCTCACGGAATGGTTGGGGAGGCCTAATTTGTAGAGTGTTTTTTTTTTTTTTTTTT